TTGTACCATCAGCGTTCCTCGGGGGTTTTGGATGACGCGTTACAGTGGTTGGAGCGAACTGGAGAACCCAATATTCGCCATCGCGTCATGGATCTCGGCCACACACACATGTGCCACACGGCCCTGCACCTCATCTTCACAGAGTGTAAGATACAAAACCATTCACCGTCTTTGACAAGTTACTCACAAGACATTTCTAAGAGCATCCTGTGAAGAGGAAAACCTGTTTATTCCATTTTCTATTTTAAACTATCACATTTCATATTATTCAACCCATATAAACAGTGTTTGAGGAGTTGTGCTAACACTGACGCCTGTTAGAACTCGTATGTTGATAGTTAACACACACACTTGTCTCTTGCTTTCAATCAGTTGCTAAGTATATTCAGGAAATGGGTTCCCACTTTGAAAGGACGATGAAGTCACTGACGGCTCGACCGGCCGAGTATCTAATAGAGGTAAGACGACAACGTGGTCTAAGCGCAGTCTCTCTGGATTTATTGGCTTTTATGTTTTGTATTTGGACCGATCATTACATATATTATGTTCAAATAAAATATGTCGGCACAAAACTCTACTGTCCTTAAATGTTTGTGTTGTACCTGAGGGAATGATATATTTGTTCCTCGTCCAGAAAAGTGAAGACATGAAGAAGAAAGGAAATGAAAACTTTCAGAAAAAGCAGTATGAAGACGCTGTTAAGTTTTATTCCAAAGCCATCACATTTTAGTAAGTTCATATTATAACACTGTCTTTAAAATGTCCAGTAACACTATCAAATATTACGGCCCTATCTTTGTGACTCTTGGGTATATTTTAGTTTTTGTTGACACTCTCCATTTGATTACAACATGAATGATGCAGATTGTTAGAAACACTTCAATAAAATACAAAACCACCTCAAACTACGGGCACCAGAGCTGATTAAACTCCTCTCTGACTCAACAATAAATAACACACGTTTCACAAAGAAGAGTCACTGTATTAGGTTGTAGATGTGTAACTAGTAATTTGGTAAATCTGTGTACTTTTGTAACTAAAAATATATATATTTTTCTCCATCCAGCCCTGACAACCACATAGTTTATGGAAACAGAGCATTATGCTATATCCGATCTAAGAAATATCTGTAAGTACCAGTTATTCCTTACTTATTTTGACCATAAAAGATGTGAGTGAGTCTATCGTACACGTCTCACTAGAGAACGAGTGAATGCTGCTGTTTGTCAGAGTTTACAAGAAATGTTTTAACCCAAACATCACTTCAAACTTTTACAGAAAAGCGGTTGGTGATGGAAAATGTGCTACTCTGATAAAACCATTCTGGGCAAAGGTACTAATCTCTTTGTATGAACCAGTCAACACTAGTGTAGTAATGTAACAGAGAACATTATCCAACATTTATCACACAGACGTTAAGGACCGCACCATATCGGTGTGGTCGGCTACATATTCAAGGACTGTTATTTCAAGAGCGAGACGTTGATGCGTGTTTGTTGTTTGTAGGGTCACTACCGCTACTGTGAGGCGTTGTTCTTCTTGGGAGAGATCAAAAAGGCGATTGACGCCAACTTAATGGCCCAGCATCTGTGTAGAGACGACCACGAGGGATTTAAAGACTTGGAACAACAACACCTGAAGTTTGCCGAAATGCTGATGCCGGACCCCAAAGGTACTTTCACTGCTCTGTCATGCTCACAGCAGCACCTTCGATCTTTGTTTTGATCCATTTAAAACGGCAAAAGTATCCGGAGGAGCGAGATTCCCAGAGATCTAAAAGCACATCTGTAATGCCTCCACACGAGTACACACTATACGTTATACTGTGTTTACAAGACGCCTTTAAGTTTCTCTTTACTTCAGGATGTCCAAGTCTTCTCATTTAGTTAAAAAGTCAAAAGTAGAAAAGCAACTTAACATCTTGAAGCTTTTTCTTGTAGACGGTTTGTTTTTCCTTTATAAATTGAAGTGTCTGTCTTTTGAGGTATAATTAAGACCTGATTGTTGCTTATCATGGAGGACAAATACCTAGTTGGCCTTGAGTCTGGGTTAAATGATCCCCTCCATCAATGAAACCTGTGTTTATGTGCCTTGATTTCAGCTGTCCAGCCTAAGAAAACCCCGACTAAAAGGTATGCGTGTACCTCGTACACATTAAACAACTTAACTTGATTAATACATGCTGATAAACTTATGGATTCATTTTTTTCCTACAGACCAGAGAGCACCAACAGAGCGAAAAAGAGTGATGCTACTCCACAGATTAAGGTTTGTGAACGTGTCCATTAGAGGCTGTCAGTAATGCATCATTTATTATTTTAGGTGAAAGAAGATATAAATAAAACATAATCCTCCACACCAAAACAAATAAATAAATACAAAAAGATCTGCAGATCGATAATTAAAATATTCTTTAGTTTTGTCGGTGTGAACAGCCGGCTTTTAGAATAAGATTGAATCATTGACACTATATTTGTGTGGCTTTAGCTGAAGTTCGATATAGCTCAGTGTTAATGATTAACTTGTGTGTCGGCAGGTCACAGAAGTTAAACTAGAAAAGACACCAGGTGAGTTTGTTCTGACACTTTTCTTTCTGACCCGGGTTCAGATCCTGCTTGTGGTGTCTCTTGGTTGTCCAACGCATACAAGCTGAATATTATTTGTGTACTAGAGTGTCCACAGTATGCGTCTCATATCCTTAAATACACATTTTTAAAATGTATGCAAGAATGCAAGTTTTAAATCTGCATTGTTTACATCCATGTTTACAAGCAAGCAGTCCGTTTGTGTTCTGTCTTGTTTTGTTCTTTATATCTGTGGAGTAAAATACCTGCACATTGAAGTTAAGATGTTTTGTTTATGACATTTAAAAAACTTATTGGCTAATATTCTGTTTCCAGTGAAAAATGAGAGGACTGCACAGTCAGATGCCGGTGCTAAAAACTCCAAACCATCTAAAAGGTTAGTGGAAACATTTTCAACACTTCTCAGATCCTCAGGCAGACTGTTCCAGCCCCTCAGAGTATAGAAAACATAATGATAAGAATCAACATTGTGGCTTGTTTTAATTGATTTATTTGTTATCTGATCTGAGGTCAAAGAATGTTTCCCTTCAGACTGTTGAACTGATTTAAACATTCTGTGCTTTCAGTGAGCTTTCTTCAAAGAATGGGAGAGGAACGCCCAGCACACCAAAGAAGAAACCAAAGAACGTAAACCAGTCAGAAGAGGAGGTACGGCTGTGCTTAACATGTCGTGCTCTGCTTCTGTCATGTGACCGACATGTTGTCTGTAGTCATGAGTCTGGTGTGAAGACTTCCAGCACACTGTGTCTCAAAGGGAACATCAGTAGAGACACTCAACCCTGCAGATCCTTGAACTTAAGCTCACTGAGGCTGTTTGTTGTTCATTGCTGACTTTTTATAACTTTCTGTGTGTTAATAGCTTGCATTTAAGAGCATCTTAACTTTTTAGAACATCCAAATGTAGCTTTAAAGTCGTAAAAAATCATTAAATAAGATACGTGACCTGCTCTGTGATGTGTTTTTATCCGATCAGAACCAGAAAGACGACGATGAATACAACAAGTGTAGCGAGTTGAGATCGATGGTGCAGGACGCGCACACGGCTCTGGCCGACCTACGCAGCCGCAATGCGGAGCAGGCCTTCAGGAAGGCGCTGGTCCTAGTGGAAGCCAGCACACCCAAGGTAACACACCACTGATGAGCACTTTACACTAAAGCACAATGTACTGTATGTGTATAAGTCAGGGTTCCAGACTAACTTTGGTCACACCAGCACATGATTTGGTTGCACCCTTTTTTTTTTGTTGCAGAATAGTATTTTAAGTACTGTACTAGTTGAGGCACTTGTACTTTGCTTGAGTGTTTTGATTGTGTGCAACTTTCTACTTCACTTGATTGCAGAGGCAGATATTGTACTTTTGAAGCCTTGAAGTACTATCTGAGGCCTTTATTTACTAGTTACTTTGCAGATGAAGATGCATCTTACATGTTTCTTTGTTTGTTAAAACAACTTTTACTTAGTCTGTCAGATTTCAGATTTAAGATTTGCGTTGAGCTTTAAAAGACATCATTTGTTTTCTTTCTGCTTTCTCAGGATCTTGGTCTTTCCACATTGGATGAGCTGTTGTTGCTGTACGGCCTCGCCTCAGCTCTGACAGAAATCGGCCAGCTTGAGGTAACTTATGGGTCCATGTAGGCGTGTTAGGCCTGAATGGCCAAAGCAGTCCTACCTATGTATGAGGATAAGATTAGGGTTTTATTGATTCTTAGTGTACAGCAGAAAATAGTACAGATAAATATATAACACAGAAATTATAAGATACACAACTGTTCAAAAGTTTCTCATCTCCTGCCACAAAGGCTTGATGTTATTTTGTAGGAACGGTTTGTTCTGTACTTGGAGAACAGTCGAGCTGGTTTTATATCGACACGATAACTTGATCATTTAAATTGTAGATAACAGTGTTTGAGTATTGAATGTCCTGTGAAGCAGGCATTACAGGTGTGGTTCCTTTGTTCAACACAGGAACTCGGAGAAGCACAGAAACTTCTAGATAAGATCAAATCCTTCGAGGAGAGGACGTTTCAGTGTCTGGTTTACTATGCCGTCGGCAGGGTGTATCTCAGAGAGAACAGGTACGGTGTCTTTTAGTCTTTGCTAACATTGCGCGTTTTGAATCGCACCCTTTTGTTGTTTCAAAATCAGTCTTTCCTCTGTGGACAGGTTTGCACTCGCCCTGGAGCAGTTTTCAGATTCCCTGCAGACGGTGAAGAATCGAATAACCCCGGGTAAACTCACGTGGCCTTTAACAAAAGAGATCGTCAAAGAGACACAGTCGGAGTATTTCAAGGTATGGTGTCATCTTAGGTCTTTGTTTGTATCCATTTTAAGAGATTGTTTAGGTGCATGTGAGTGTTTGGGCATTGTTTATGTAATACTCACCCTCGGTAACTGTATTGTATGTGATCAGATTTATATGCCTTCATGCCAGCCATAGTGGCCGGAGGAATTGCGTTTTTGGGTTACGATGGTCCTCGTCAATGCAATATCTCAGGAAGGCCCAAGATTTGTCACAAACGTCTACGTAAACTGATTAGATTCTGGTGTTTAAAGGTCACTGTGGCCTCACAAAACGCATTTTTAGCCATAACCCAAGAATTGATATGCTAAATAGGATGAAATGACATTTTGGACAGACATGACAATAAACCGCAACTTGACTAGTTGGAGGAGGAATAAAACCGCGTTTCACACTGATTAAACTCTATAGACAGAGATTAAAGATATATAAATTAATAGAATAAAAGATATATAATAAACACAATACAACAAAGTATATAAAAGTAGCACAAAAGGAAAGTCTCTGATCAAGTTTGGCCGATATATCCTGTTAATTTGATCTAGATCTAAACATTTATCGGAGCATAAATCACTTAGAAAGTAGGATAACATACTGTATCTATGGCTGACATTTCTCTACTTTCCCTACTTGTATCTTTTCTTTTTTTAGGAAATTCTGGAGCATGCTATAGAGCTGTGCAGGTTTCCTCCTATTCCTGATGCCATTTGTCGACTAGAGAAATGCCTCGTCCCTTTGAAAGCTGAAATCTACTTAACTGACCCAGATTTTAAGGTAAGCGGCTGCTGTGAAACACAGACGGATAAGTTATTGTCAATAATTACTATTATTATAACGCATATGCCTCTTTTATGAAGGGCTTCATTCGAATATGCTGCTGTAAGAGCTGCATTGTTGAATACCACACCGCCTGTTGGAAGACTCTCAAGACATCATCCTTTGATAAGAATGAAAAGGTACATTTCATGTATTTCATGGTCACAGGGTTTTTACAGGTCACAAAGAACCTGGAAAAGTCATGAAAATGATCTTCATTAATACCGGTATAATAGAGTATATGTGGTTCAGATCAGAATAATCTATATTGGTAAAATAACACTTAACGTTTGGCAGAGCAGTTGCGTCAACTGCGTTGTTCTCTGTGTGGGGTAAGGCCGGACTCTATTTTTATTTTATTTTTCATGACGTTTCAGAGAATGTATGGTCATTAAATGTGTCTCAAAGTCATGGATATGTATTAGTAAAAAGTGTGTTTGTTTCACTCTGGAGAGAGCTGTTGCTTCCTTCAAGTCTTAAATTATTATTTTTTTTGTGTTGCAGGAATTCCTGCAAGACCCGTGTTTGACTCCAGACTGCGTCGGCCAAATCTGTAATATCAAAATCTTTAGTCCGACGGGGCTGATAAAGTGTAAGGTAAGAGGATGCATTCTATATTCTCTGCACAGCGAGGTGAAGCTAGTCAGAGTCCCTGTGCTCATGAATGAATGAATCACAGGATCAGTGTTGACCCGAGTCTTGTTTCTCTCCAGTTCGAAGCTCTCGTCGCCAAACCACAGACTCTGAAGAAGCCCAAAGTGAATCAGAAATGCACAAGGTGAGTTGAGTTCACTGCGTGTAGCTGCAGGAGTTAGTCGGCCACAAGACGGTGATGACGATGTAGTTTGGTTCAGTTAGTGAACGCCCACTTTAAAGGATCATATACTAATTGACAAGTACTTGGTTTCTAAATAACTCCCCTTTTCTCTTTTTCAATTTTCAGTCTAAAGAAGTTAAAATCAAGAGAAGACCACAAGCTCAAGAGGAATCAGCATAAGCAGTCGTTTCTAGAAAAGCAGGCGATCAACGACGAGATTCTGCAGAAAGATGACTCAGCAACCCACAGTCAACAGAAAGGTACGGCTGCTAACGTCAGCAACATGTAGTTCTGTTTCATTGCACTTCTATTCATTCAGTTTAAACACGTTTTTCCTGTTTGGTGGCAGATAAAGATTAGGCTACTCTAATATTGTTAGTGTTTTATGGTTTGTAGTTTGTTACTTTTTCCAACTCTTGTGATCCAAATGTTTCCAATAACAAGTGTTTATCAGTCCATTTATATATTTTCAGCCTGGCTGCAGTACAGGGACAGAGTTCTTCTGCAGATCAGCGAGAACATGGAGCTGCTGCGAGAGGAGAAGGGCCTCCACGTGTCGCTCCTGACGGACAGTCTGAAGCCCTGGCTGGAGCTGGACTCCTCGAGGGGGAACCAGGTAGCTGGGAGGATTCTGAACTGGCAGCAGGAGCCGCTTGAGACTCTGAGCGACGTCGTTGAGCTGCTGCTGGAGCGGAAGAACCGGGTTTGGGCTCGCGTCCTTATACAACTACTCAGTGGCTGTCTGGATATAGATCCCAAACTTAGCAACTGGGCACTCCAGCTCAACAATGCAGGTCAGCATTGATCATGTTACTCCTAAATATCCTCAGAGTTCAAGTGATCAAAGGATGCACACTGAAGGAAAGTTAGTAATCAGCTGTTATAGTGTTTAGAAACTGTATAACTGAGGGATTTGTCTCTTTCTGCACTTGCAATTATCAGTCTAGTTGAACCACTGTACAGCGGTTTGTTCCCCACGTACAAAACAAACGCTTCATACGAATAAAAACTATTTGTAAACAGGACTTTGTAAAAGTCTCAAAGTATGAGAGACCGTTCAACATATAGAGTAGTGCTCTCAGCTTTCTGATGGGACCCAATCAAGCTCTTGTGGCACACAGAAGTCATGTAAATATTGTGGACTTTGCCGTCAGCGGCGTGTTGTGAAGTCTCACCACCTCCCTGCTGCTTTCTTTAGGTCTGAATGCTGCAAAATCCTTCATTGAGCGCTTCGCGGGACACTTGGAGCAGCTGGATCTGGCTTTTCTGCTCAACTTTGGTCCGTTGCAGGACGTGATTATAGAGAAGCTCGGGACTAGGCCGGAGCTTTTTTCAAGCGCCGGATTGACGGTGACTGAATACCTAAATCAAGCCCCAGCACATGACATGAGACTCTTTATCTGGACTCTAGAGGAGCATAGGGACGAATATCTCACCTGCCACCATATACTGGATGGCTATTTTGATATGATGGGTGTGTATATTTCACTTTACTAACATGTGAGGTGAAGGCGTGTTCATTTGTTGCCGATGATTTGACTTCCTGTTCTTTATTTTTCAGATGGACATTGTTCAGTCTTAAAAAAGTCTGATGAAAATCAAAATGTAAGTCTTTAGAAACATTTTACATTTTAGTCGTATGAACTAAACCTCAAAGGACTAGTTCGGCAATATTTTGGAGTAAAATGAGATGCCAGTCTGTTAGCTGAAAATTATGTTACTGCCAGTTAGCTTAGCTTAGCATAAAAACGAATGGAAACTGTTAGCACACAGTGTCTGCACGTCTTAAAGTCTTAAAAAAACATTGAATTCTGTACCGTCGGCAACAAAAAAGGCCCTGAAAAGTTTTTAAAAGTCTAAATTTCAAACAGTTCTTAAATATTTTTTTGTTGCGGGCTGTCAGGAGACATAAATGTGACAATGACTTCTTCCACTTAATTTTACATATTTGGCGGTATTGTTGACCCTATTGGCATGAGAGTGAAAATATATGAAATTTCATCTTATGTGGTATTACAAGGGATGTTAAAAGGCTCACATTTAATTTGGTGAACACTGCTTTAAAGCCAGAAATGTGCTCATATTAACAGGTTATATCTCATTTGTTTAACCCCCCCCCTCTAAAACCACAACTTGTCGTTTTTACATTCAGAACATACCTGTAAGTGTATTTCCCCAAATGCCTTAAACGTGATTTAACTTTGTGGCTCTTCCTGATCTCTCATCCAATTTGCTTTAATTTCAGAATTCTCCTTTGAAGAGTCGAGGCCGGAAAAAGAAACAGAGAGAGCCCAGAGTGAGAGAGTGATTATGGGTGTGATGGATTGCCTGTGAAGAGAAAATGTCTTATTGGCTTGAATCCAAATGTTTCCTCTCCTCTTCCGTTCAGGGTGTTTTTGTTTGGTCTGAGATGACAGCTCCGACTCCGAGAGATGATTGGGAACAAGACTTATTTGAAGACGACTCTTTGTAAGTTCTCCGCGTCGGACGCACAGATTTTATTATAACAAGAGTTTTTATGTCTAATGTTGAGAATTCGGTGTCGGCAGATCATTCCTTCACCCCGGTGATCCGTTCAGCGTACCGAGTCACCTCCGAGAGCAAGTGGCCGATTTTGAGGACCAGTACAACAGCACCAGACACAGAAGTCACTATAAACAGATTTTGGACAACAACCCCGACCCAACAAAAGAGAGTTTGTACGAGTAAGTGCACACTGGTGTTCAGTGGTGGAATGTAACTAAGTACAATTATGACATGCTGCTTCTGGAGTGTTTCCATTTTATGAAACTTTATACTTCTACTACATCACATTTATATGCACCTATAGTTACTTTCTACATATCAGAAGATATGATGCATTACTATACTTCTAATCTACCCAGAATAATGCAATAGTGTACAATGATATAACATTCTGCATAATGACAGCTGTTACTTTTGATACTTTAAGTGGATTTTGTTAATAATACTTAACACTTAAAATACTCAAGTAAATCGTTGCATATGGCATTTTTAATGCATATTCTCCCTTTTTGATTTTGAACGTTTGAATGTCTCTCTGCAGCTACTTTGCTCAGATCTTGGAGGAGCACGGCCCACTGGTTGCTGAGGACCCTCTGCTGGTGGGTGAACTGGGGAATTTCCCCTCCGTGGCTCAGCTGAAGATCCAGGAAACGGGCGGCTTTGAGGCCTTCCTCCTGGAATCCCTTCGCTTCATAAAGATGGGGAGGTGCATCGGCCTGGCGAAGCACGCCGTTTCCCTGCAGCAGGCGGTGCACGGAGCCGGTCTAGACTACTTGGATGTAATAGCGGATCCCGGCTCGGACTCTCTGTGTTTGGACGAGCGTCGTGAATCTGCTTTCACGAGCTATCTGGACGGTTATTCTTCTGCACAGACTGACGTCTATCGCACCCTCCCAAATCCTTATGTAATAGGCTCCCAGCCTGCTACGCGTGATGAGCTTTACCTTTGGACTATTGATGACAGACAACCAGAAGCCCCTTACGTTTTACCAAACGACTACGGGGAGCTGGATCCGGATCTGGATCTGGATCTGGATGGTGGACTTTTAGAAACCTCGTCAACGACAACTGAGGGAAGCTTTTTGAAGAAACATGCAGAAGTACAGGTCAATACCAAACATTTCAATGAAAGTTGTCATCTCAAAGATTTTCATTAAAATGTCCGTTCGCTGTCTGTTACCGATGTACGTAGCACACTGGCGATTGCTCCTATGGCCCACCAATGAAAGTATTGCAATATTTATATATTTGTCTGTGGTGACGGGACTGAAATCTAAAGGATTGGCTCTCCCCAAATACGTAAATGTATAAATAATGTCTGCTGTACTGTGGGTGACATTTAAAATGTTCTTTTTTTGTTTCGGTCTTAGACGTGTCAGGAGTCCATGAGGAGTGTTGCAGTGAATACAGAGATTCATAAGCGTTTTGAGAGCTGCCCGGTGAGTTCAGTATAACTTCATACTTCAACTACACCTGTATATGTGTAAGTAGAGCTGGGTAGTTTGCTCTACAGCAATGCATCATATTCTATAAGATCATCACTGTCCTGTGAGAACCACGCATCTCTAAAAAGTTTTAATGAGATCAGAAAAACAGCTCTTTTCCAGCTGATCCAAGAGGCTTTTAAATTTATTTAGCTGAAGAAGTAGACGGATTGTCTCGACACATAAAGCAACACTTCATCCTTCAATTCATCACAAACATTCAACATCAACACATCTGGAGATAAGTGGTTTCCACTGGAAGGGAAGTGGATGAAAAACTGAAATCTGAAAAGTAACTAAAGTGGAGTATAAAGAACAATATTTACCTTTGAGATGTACTAAAGTAGAAAGTATGATAAAATGTGATCACTCAAATAAACTATTAGTACCTTGAAACTTGTACTTAAGTACAATACTTGAGGTAATGTACTTAGTTACTTTCCATGGCTGCTTATCCACAGTGTAGTTCTGTGTGAAGTTGTTGCCTGTTACTGAGTGTTGTTGTTGACTCTTTTTCCCTCCTCCGTTGGTTCTTCCAGGGTCACATCAACATAAAGCAGAAGAGCAACAGGAAGTTGGAGCAGCAGATCAAGAAGATGGCGAAAGGCTGCGACAAAGTCAACCTGAGACATGAAGAAGACGTCGCTGTCCTGAAGGAAGACATTCAGAAGATCACAGCTAATATACAAGTAGGTCCATAAGCAGTTACAATTATAGGGAGTTTATAAGAAAGAATAAACCTTTATTAAAAGAAATGTGACAGGATATGTCAAGAAGCCACGACAAGATGCAACAGACCTCAAAGGATGAAGCTAACGTAATGTAATAATGTAATGTAATGTAAATACAACAAAAACTTAAATATGTGTTATTGTCTGTCTTCTCTCGTCAAGGTGACCAATAAGGAGCTGGCGCTGTTCCAGCAGAAACTGGAAGAGGAGGTGAAGAAGGATCAGAAGGAGAAGAAGGCCAACCAGGAAGGACTGAAGGCCCTGAAGACGACGATCGAGGATCTGGTGGAGCAACACGGGAGGTGAGAGTGAAGCTGATCTGGTGCAAAGTAACGAAGTACATTTACTCAAGTAGAATTTGGATGTACTTAACTTGAGTATTTCCTTTATGCCTCAACCCCACAACGTGTATTTGGAACTTGTGTTTTATATCTAAAAGTAACTGTAATATACTGGGTAGTATTGCATCCACATTGAGGAACTGCACTATTAAAATACTCTTTATAGAAGTGATGAACACATGAATGCATCAATAATTCAGTAGTAATTCAGCACTTTTGGCTAATTCTTTTACACAAGTACTTTTGAATGCAGGACGTTTACTTGTAGTAGAGTATTTCTCCACTGCTACTTTTACTAATATGAAATATATGAGTACTTGTGACTTATGATCACCCGGGACAAATATATTTGTGTACTGAATTTATTTATTTATTTATTTATTTATTGTTGCAGCTTGAACGTGACCGTTGTATGTACAGATGTCACATACTGTAAACACAAAGCATCAAGTAATGATTGAGTCCTAATTATATTTTTATATATTTGTGTCTTATTTCCATCCACAGTCTTTCCCAAAACATCCGAGAGAAGAAAGCCAGCTTTGACTCAAAGCTGAGTGATTCCCTTGAGTTGAGGTAAGCGTTGAGCAAAGAGTTGATGGTGAAGCAGAAACTAAAGATCCTCGACTCTTTTGGTTAACGTGTCGTTTCCTTTCAGTAACCAGTCTGCAGCTGAGAAGATGAGCCTGGAAGATGAGATCAAGCGCTGTAAGCTCTCGTTTACATCGGCGACCCGGAGGTCTCAGGCAGCTCAGGTAGGCCCTGCAGTGAGATTACAAAATGTACGATACATAAACTTTACCAATCACCAAGAAATATATTTAAAAGAAAAATACACAGATGTTCAGATACACGCAAATGTACTTTTAGAAAATATGTTAATTTTAAACATAATAAAGATGCATCAACTTAAATAGATATGCAAAAGAGATAGTGATCATGACATATTACTGATAATTAACCTAACCTATATAAGTACACATGCGGTATATATGTACTGTATATATGTATGAACAGTAATAGTTCACACATGCGTATGAATATAAGAAGCGAACAGTTGTATGTTTAAATAGCAGTGTCTTTTATCCAAAATACGTCAAGCCTCTCTTCAGAGTGGTTGAGCCTGAGGCCCCGCTGCTTCTTTACACTTTGTTAAAACTACTACCGCTCGTTAAGTTTAGTAAATGACTCGATCCTCGTCGTTCTGCTCCTCCAGGTGTTGGTGGTGGAGAGCAGTCGGGATCAGGGTTTGTTCGTCCTCTACAGAGAGCTCGCCACCGGCAAGGCTCTGCTCACCAAGCTGGACGAAGCGGCTCACAGGTCAGAGAGCAGTGACGACCGCCTCTTTTATTCCTATTGTGTTGGTGTCACATTTATTCATTGTGCGACGTCCTTCCATCCATGTCCAGATACCCATCCCCAGACCTGGAAATGACGAGGAACAGCTGGAGAGTTAATGTCCAAGATGTTGAAAAGAAGATCTCCACTGCTGAGGTATGCGCGTCATTTCCTTTGTTGCAGCTACAGAAGCTACGGGATCAATGATCCATGTTGGGATGCCTTGACTTCTGATGTGTTAATCCAGATGTTTAGTAAGACTTTATGTTTTATACAGGCACAGTACAAGGAGCAGCTGGATCAAGTGAATAATGGGAGAAGACTCAGTGAATTGCCTCCAGTCAACGTCAACAACCAGTCTGAGCCTCCAGCGGCACCAGTAAGACAACCAGTCTAACCAGCAGATGTACCACGCTTATTAACTAGCTTTAATGTGCAGCTGTTCTCTATTTAATATCATCATCAATAAACACCTTATTATTCCTTATACAAAATGAGCAATAATAACTTCTGCTACTAGTACAACTACTACTTCTACTGCTATAATACTACTACGTATACTGCTGTTACTACTTCTACTCCTACAAGAACTGCTACTTTAGTTACTGCTGCAATTACTTCTACTTCTATATCTACTGCTGCTACTACTTCTGTTGCACCTCTACAGGATCAAATGGCTCAGATATTAGAAATGGTTGCAGAATCCGTGGTTATGTACCCCTAATTAAAAGTGTAACCATCTCCTGTCTTAATGTTGCAGTCTGTGGCGGCCACCGAGTATTCTCCTCCATCTTCATCCTCCCATGGCGCCGCCCCGGTCATCCCCCCGCCTGCAGCTGAAGCGGCGGCCGCTCAGCCTCCCGCTCAGCTCAAACCTCCGGCCAGGACTCTGGAGCCTCAACACAACACTGTGTTCGACAAGTCCTTAGAGCGCCTGACCAGCATGTTCCCCGACTATACAAGGTAACGCTGGAGCTCTAATGCCGTTATACACACTTCAGACCTTCTACTAGAAGGAAAGTGGCTTTTATGCTCATTTTCTTACACATCATGCATTTTATTGTTTCACAAACAGAAGAAGGGAAACATTGAGCCTTTAATCTGGCAGCTTTACACTTGTAGGTATTAAACACAATGCATTGTGTGTTTGTGTTCAGGTCGGACCTGATGAGGTTTGTCCAGGAGTTTCGTTCATCCAGCGGTGGAAGCCTGAGCAGCATGTCGATGCAGGACATGGTCGGTGGAGTGACTCAGCTGATCCTGGACCATCAGGTAGGTTTTTAAAGGTCTAAACTAAAAAACATGTTGATTTTAGCGAGAATCTGTACCAAACAAAGATGTATTCTCAAGTCTAGAGTCTGTTTGCTGCTACGTATATTATATATTTCTGAATCCTGTACATTGGAATTTTTATGCCACAACTGTTCCGCGGACCTGTGAAGACCTCTAGTATGGATGATCCAGGTTAGGTCTCATCTTAAAACGCGTCCCATTGATTGTTTTGGCTTCTTTTCCTCACAGGAGAAGCCTAAAGCTGCCAAAGCGAGCAAGGCCCATGGGGTTCCCTCTGTGTGTACCACCCCGCCTTTGGTCGCCCCGGTCTGGCGGCAAAAGAGAGACAACGTGCAGTCCAACGTGGTAAGTCTTTTTATCTGAGAAAGCATTTTGCTTCAACCCATATTTGTTGGCGTTTAGCCTTTCAAAATACACAAACATCACATTTTGGTCAGGCCAATGCGGTAATTTGGAGTTTGTCCGACAGAGGTCCTCTCCCAGAGGCTTCTGTTACGAGAGGCTGTGAAGACTCGTATTGATCTGTCTGGTTAGTCCTCGTCTTAAAATGCATCGCGTTGATTGTTTTGTCTTCTTTTCCTCACAGGAGAAGCTTAAAGCTGCCAAGAGTCCGGCTCAGTACACCGCCCCGCCTTACGCCTACCCGGTCTGGAACCCCCCCGAACTAAAGAGAGAGGCACACTCCAACGCGGTAAGTCCAAAAGAAACTAACAGTTAAAGAACAGAAAGATTTGCTATCAGTGTTTTTAATCTTCTCTTTGTGCTTCTGTAGGCTTTAGATTGTGTCACAGAGCACTTATAACATATTTCTGATTTTAGAAAACATGACCTGGAAAAATTCACCCCCATACAGTTTTCATTAACGGGGTTATTAGCTGTAGAGACCGTTTATTGTACCAGGCTCTAAACACGTCCATGTCTGCTCTACAGCCGGGCATTTCAACATGAAACCAGACTCTAGTGGCCTTTTGAAGAACTGCTGTTTTTGGCACTTTTTGGCGAGTTGCTGCTCGGTGATAAAGATTAGGCTGCACTTTAGTATTATGCTTTTTGTTGAATTAGATTAAAAATTCACCGTGGTTTTCTCTCTCACTTGCTGACAAAACATTTGTTATAGCCCATGAGAACATATGTAAAAAAAAAAATAAAAAAAAAAATAAAAAAAATGTCTAAAGCGCAACTAAGTTGTGGTGAATCTTGAGTGTCCTGACAGCAGCACGCTGTCTACGAACCAATGACACAAACAGGACTATGATTCAATTGGCTATCTGGTAGTTGGGGCGTGGTTATGCCCGCTGCTATCTCCAACGAGAGTAAAAACTAAACAGATAAGGAAGCACTCAGTCACTGGACCCGACTCTCTGTGTGTGTGTGTGTGTGTGTGTGTGTGTGTGTGTGTGTGTGTGTGTGTGTGCGTGCGTGTGTGTGTTGATTGCAGCTGAACATCGGGGATCCTTGCATCATCTGTCACGAGGACATGAATCCCATCGACATCTGCGTGCTGGTGTGCAGACACAGCTTCCACAACGAGGTGAGCAGAGACTCTTCAAACTGCTTCATGTACCTTTGAATCATCTGTTGTAGCTTAAACATGGCTTTTATGTTGTTATTCTAAATGAAGGATGTTTACAATACATTATTTTTTCAGCTGAAAAATGGTTTTCCTTCTGTCTTTGACCGGTATGACCATGAAAAAGGTGTGTTGTTGTGAAACCTTTAATGTGCGTCCTTTGTGTGTTTAGTGTATCAGGTCATGGTTGAAGGAGCAGAGCACCTGTCCCACCTGCAGAGATCACGCATTACTGCCTGAAGAGTTCCCCGCTCTGTCTGGTAGAAGACGCCAAGCTCCGTGATAATTCCACCCTAATCTTCACATATACTTTTATCTTATTTCTTTTTTTTTAATCACAATTTTCATTATAAACTAAAAACGCCATCGTTTTATTGTATCGTTAAGATGTTCAAACTGATGTTTCTACAAATTGAATAAACTAAAGCGTCTTGTGTTTGAGATCGTCTCCGTCAGATGTTTGTCTGTCACGCCTCAGATGGGCCACAGTTTGGAATTTAATACAATTTCTGATCTTTTAAAATTAAGTATGTCGAAAAAGTTAATAAAAAGTCATGGTATAGTATGTCAAAAAATGTTTAAATCATAGTATATTATTAAAAGTCAGAGTATGTCGAAAAAATCCATGAAAAAGTCCTAGTATAGTATGTCGTATTAGAGTGCTCGATCATAGTGCGTCAGAAAAAATACTTATTATAGTATGTGGAAAAAAGTATAGTTTGTTAAAATACAAAAACATAGAAAATGTCATAAAAAGTCGTGTAGTATTTCAAAAAACTTCATGAAAAAAGACATTGATGTCACAAAAGTCATTGTATAGCATGTAATGGTACAATATGAAAAAACTCAGTATAATGTAAAAAGTATTGTATTATAGTATGGTTGTAAATGTCATGAATAAAGTCAGAGTACTTTCAGCCATTTCATGTCTTTGAATGTTCAGCATGCTCCAAAAATCATTCAGGTTACTGTGCAACCCATACTTAAGAAAATATACATACAGTAAATGCTATTTGCAAAATCTCATTTATTCATGTCTACGTGATGTGTGGTCACATGGTCCAAAAACAGTGATGATTATGACTTGATCTTTAATAAAAATCAATGCTAATGGTTCGTACATTTAGAAAAAAAGACTCCATTCACCATCTACAGTATAAGTGTACATGTAGCTGTGGCACGCATACGGTCTGTTTCTGTGCACATGCATGACTAAACAATGTAATAAAAAAAAAAATCATTGGGTTATATTTAAATATGTTTGATTGATTGATTAAATGATTGCCTTGTTCCTCTTAATAATTCCAAATTTGACTGCATACATTGTCAAACTGGCATTTTATTTAATAAAAAGAGAAAAACCCACTAACTGAGATCTGAAGGGTCATTAGTTAGATGATGGGTTACTTTTGGTGTAAAAAGTGACTCTATATTTGATGCCCGGTTGGTAAACTCTGAGCATAAATACGGATGAAAAGACGAAGATACTCCACAAGACAAACTAACAAGTCGACTTCTGTTTTCTGGGGGATTTTCCGATTGTTTCAGGTATTTTCTTTCTTTTTTATAAAACAAGGATTAGAAATCAGATTTTTAATCATATCTTGTTTTTGTAAATCAAGCAAGAAGCTAGAGTACCGCTTTGTTGTCTCGACACCGATGTCGGCATTTGAGAAAACAGAATTCCGTCTCAAACAATAGTTGCATTTAAAGCTTGTTTTATCAAACGGCACAGAGATTATGAACTGATAACATGACATGTACTAACGTTCAACAGTTTTTCTTCTTTCTTTCCTTCAATGATTCAGACTCCAATTGTATTATTTACACTTGAAATAGTTTCTGCACCAAAAGAGGAATAATTAAATTATATTTTGCACTTGACACTGAAACAGGAACCTGTTCCTTTTAAATCTGCAATCTCTCGTTCCGCTCTTTCAATTGTCTGGTTGAACTATTGTACATGGCAGGAGATCACAAACTTTCAACGGTGTGTAAATAGCACAGCCGATAATATGACGGTCAGTTCACGGTGATTATAGTGCAGAAAGAAAGCCGTCCAAATTGCCGTGTTACAGGTGGGAAAAGGTCATTTAAAGGCAACAGGTGAGTGTTTTTAAGACAGGGCCGATACATAACAACATAAATGAAAACGTTGGCATTGCAGTGACACAGACACCTTGATAACCACTTTGTGAAACAATTCACACAGTTACGTACGAAATAAGAGCTTTTTGTTTACATGCATTCAAACTGCAGTGTGAGGAGGATTGATTGACCGTACATTCCAGCCGCTCTGCTCACTTGCTGTTGCCCCGGGTGGTTCGCTGTTTGGTCATTGTCGTCAGCATCTGGCTGATGTAAGAGGTCAGGAGGTCGTCCATTTTGTAGCCCTGTGTGTTTTGAGGACAAAGGTTAGATATGCTGAGCTGAATTGATGTTTATGTATTTGGATGTATGGCTCTATTGTTTTATTTTTTCTGTGATGAGAAAAAAATTGGTTGTTTGCATTAAAAGTGACAGCAATAGTTTCTCTTTCTCACACTCCTGATAGGTGAGAGAGCATAACAGAGCATAATGGCGCCTTAAGTGTAGACTACCTCTCTCTCTCAATATTTTATGTTTTCAAATTGTTGCACCGTGGCATTGTGTCATGAATGCGGCAAAATGATCTGTTCGGTCACAAATATCATAAAAATCAGGTCTGAACTCAAACCTAGGAGCATTGGTTACGTGATGAACCGTTGCAAATGTATATTAACATATTTAAACTCTTAATTTCAGGTTATTCTGGTGGCAGTAGTGCTTCATGTCAAAACCAGGAGCTCACCAGCGAGGTCTCACACAGCAGCTTGCTGCCTCGGACCAGGTTTCCGATGGTGATGTGGAAGTACGTGTTACCGCTGCTCCAGTTGGAGATCTTAGTGAAGGGGTGAGTGGTGAGGATGTCCTGCAGGCAATACAACAACTGAGATTAGCACACACACACCCTGTTGGCAGATACAGTGCAGTACTGTGAGATAGCTTGTGTACTTTTGATTTCAGGGAAATACACACGCTATCTCACAGTAACATAACGAAATGAAGTTATGGTGGTGAATCAACCTGTAACTCTAGAGAAATCTGACATCAAACAAAGAGAAATATCCAGAGAGCGACATTGATGACTAAATACAGTATGTTAGTGTAGCTTGAGCGTATTTTTGTGAACAAGATTTAACTCCAAATGTAAAAGTTTTCTATTGTAGCTTTCAGCATTTGGATTACAGAAAACTAATATTTTAGATTATCTGTATTTTGCAAATCTTTCAGAAAACGATTTTGTTCCCAAAATGATAATTCTTGGGAACAAACTAATATAAGTGTGGACCCACCTTAGACTTGGGATCAATGAGACTGACTCCGTGTTTGTTGATTGCAATCAGGAGGGCTTCTGGGTAATTTGGATCAGTTGTTTGCTGCAGGAAAAAAATAAAAAATAGAATAATTAAAAACAAAACTTTTCACACAGTGCTGAAAAAACAAGTTAGATTCTACTTTTATAATGTATATCATAGATTAAATGAATGCATGCATCAACAATGATAATCAAATAATATAATCTATATTATTCTGAAATAAACCATTCTGCATAACATTCACTTCCGATACTTTAAGTATATTTTGATGCTGATACTGTTGTACTTTGAAGTAACATTGTGAACGCAGGACTTTAACAGAGTATTTCTACACTTTAGTATTGCCACTTTTATTTAAGGTGAAATATCTGAATACTTGGACAACAACATAATGACCAAAATCTGCAACAACTGCTAAACGTACACTTATATTCCTCTTTTTACCAACGTCTTTACCTTGACTTCAAAAAAGGCAGAACCAAACGTGGTCCACTTGTAGATGATTTTGAGGAAGGAGTGTTTGGCTTCTTCTCGAGTCTTTCCGGGGTGCTTGTTGAACAGCGACACGATGGACTGAGAGGGAAACACACGTTTTTTAACATAATAAATGACTTTGCAGAGACTTTTATGACCAAACTTTTAGAACGGCCAACCAAGATTATTAAATACAAAGTTGCCAAAGTTGTACCCATGCATGGCATTGCCTTTGGGACATTCATGGTCTTCAGAGGATGAATAACAATACATTTGGTGATCCTCTGACTTTTCGTCTGCTCTAATACGTCATGCATCTCACCCTCTTCCAGTCGTCGGGGGACAGATGTCTGATCTGGTCCTGAGGGACGAGATCCTTCAGGATCTTGGAAATATTCTGGAAGTGGATTTTGTCATCCTCAAACTTCACCCTGTAGATCAGCGCTGCCAACTGGTGCACCTCCTCCCTCAAACACTTGTGGTAGCCTCGCAGATACTTAGGCAGCTCCTGTAGAGAGAAGACAGTCGCTGTTAAGATACTGCATGTCTGTATGTGGGACATTTCAACCCGTCTATTGGCAGATACATTCATACTTAAGGTTGTCCATAAACCTACACAGAGCTTTCAAGCTCCATTCAAATAAAAACACTGAAAACCATGTTTTATTAAAACCATATTAATTGTATCATTGAGTCTCAGACGTTTATATATTTATATTTCAGTGCAGTTTGACTTGTCGGGTGTCAATATCACATAGTAATGTCGCATTAACGTTAAGAAATAACGTGAAGAAATACCCTTAAAATAGCTGGAAACAATAATTTCACACATCTGTTGATTTCTGAGAGCTGTTACTCACTTGGTAGTAGTGGAAGATGGAGTCAGCCATAGAGTCTTTTCCTGGCACCGTATTAGTCCACAGCTTCTTCATGAAGAACACCTGATAGGTCAGTGAAGGCAGTACACCTGCAGACACAACACACACACACACACACACACACACACACACACACACACACACACACACACACACACACACACACACACACACA